TGTCTTATTCATATTTTTTATCAAAATATGCCATACTTACATCCTTGCTTCAAATTGAAGAAGAAGGAAGGCTGCATTGCATCGCTGCATGTGGACGCAGGACATATGTCATTATCAGGTATGAAGAGACGGCATCTATTGTGAACAGGCCTCCTGGACACGCCTCTCAATGAGAGCTAATGCTGCATTGTTCTGTGTGTATCAACCAATTGTTAAGTGGCTTAGCAGAGAGAAAACCTCACACACTTCCTGTTTTCCTGCTGGGCTTCACTCACAGGGGATTCTCCACCAATGAATAATACATCCTCTCCATTTAATTTGGAAAGCAGCCTTAATGAGGCACTTTTGCACAGCGTTCCCCGGCCTGGGCTCCCACGTGCCGTAAGCACCGTGTGGCTGAATTTGAAGCTGTTAATGGACTGTGGTAAACTGGCGTGAGGGCAAAAAGCTAAAGACATTCATACTATTCATATTTTAAGGGGGTGCAAGTTGACTGGTTTATTTATGGAAAAGAGTGATCTCGTGACTTCAAAGACTGCCAGCTAGACTTCAGGAAATGTGAGTGAATGGCACTCGTGGTGCTGCAGCCACATCTCGGTTGGCACTCAGAAAGTACGGCTGATTTACAGACAAACACACAAGACATCAAACATTAAGAAAGTGCTCCTTTGAAAGTACTGTGTAGCATTTCTAAAGGTCCATTAATCATGTTTTAATATTAACGCAGAGTCAAATGGCCATGTGTAATATGATAACCATGAACTCACAGCGATTCTTCACAACCTGCCTTAAACCAAATAATAGAAAGACAGTTATTGACTGAATCATCACCCAGATCAACCAGACCTGGTGTCTCAATGCTGTTTCTGCCTCTCAGAGAAACAATCAACCAATCACAGCTTTCATGGAATCATTAAGAATGGGGATTTCTTGATGGCTAGTATTAGAAGATAAAGTTCACAAATGGTACCAAACATGGATAAGTTCAACACAACAGCGCAGGTTCTTTTATTTCCAATTACGGAAAAAAAATCTTTTATCAACGGATTTCTTTGATCTTTATGAACTTTAAGAAACCAGAAAGAAACCATTTTTATTGTCATATATATATATATACACATACACGAAATTTGACTTCTGCATTTGACCCATCCCGGTATATAGGGAGCAGTGGGCTGCCAATGACAGGCGCCCGGGGAGCCGGGGGTTCAGTGTCACTACGACACGTGACACGTCCCAGTGCCTGATGCTGGGAGGAGCTGGGAGGAGATGTAAGGGAGTGTTTGTGTGATAAAGGGGTACGACCCATTAAACCCTCCAGGCCTGAGTAAAATACAGTCTCCCTGTAACATTACCATAAAAGAGTCGGCCATTCCTCGGTTGTAAATTTATTGAGAAGGTCGTAACGTTTTACAGCTGCTGCTCTGTACTGGATATGATCACATTTGCTCGGAGCTGTTAAGATTATGATCCCCGTTGATGTGTCACACCGCAAACAAGCCATAACCTCCGTACAGTTACTTTAATTACTCTAAAAATTGCAATTAATGACCAATTGCATGCAATAAAGAAGCAGAAGGTTTCCTGCTGGATAAAGATACGAGTATGTTTTACTAATGAGCTAGTAGTTAAAGATGGCGCTGTGTTAGAAGTCGCCGTCATTGTGAGAGTGGGGAAAGTATCCGTCTGTCTATCTTCGATTTTAAATAATGGTGAAGAATAATCAGACTGCCTTGCTCACAGAGGCAGATGGCATCCTGTTTGCCATATAATCCCCTCTGAGGCGCCATCAGAGCACGAGGAGCATGTGGCCTTTCCTTTCAGTCTGGGTTACTTTATCACTTCGCTTATTTACTGATCAACAAATCAATTTGTGTGGAGGCAAAAAACCCCAAAAAGAACCAAGAAAGAAAATCTAAGATATGAAAGTTTTCTTTTCTTGTGAAGTTGTTGTTCAGTCGACTGTTTCCCCACAGACAGCAGCGCTGCCTTTTCATTCACAATGAGCAACACAACCTACCAAGGAATGGCACCGTGGAGGGAGCTTAATTAAGAAATAATTGACTTGCATTTTAAATTAATTGAGTTGTTTGAAGTGGTGGGATAGTCTGACGCTGACAAGCTATACCTTAAGACAGCAGGCGCCTCAAGATCTGTTGTGGAACTGTGGGGAAAAAAACATGAAATAAATGGCTTGAAATTGGAAATCTAACACGATTTGAGATGCTGAGAGAGAACATCTCTCTTCTGATGCTTGATGCTGGATGAGCCTGGGAGAGAAATGGCAATTCAATTCTCTCTGTGCAAGTGTGTGCGTGCGTGCACGTGCGTGTGCATGTGCGTGTGTGCGCGTGTGTGCGCGTGCGTGCGCATGCGTGCGTGTGTGTGCGTGCGTGCAGGTGCGGGGATGCTTTGAGCGAATTTCAGGTATAATTTGCAGAATTACGGCAAAATAACCAAAGATGAGGAAATGATGATCGAAGCCATTAATCCAAGTTTAGCTGTCCACGCCTGCATACTGTACCTCAAACATCTCCGTCCACACATACAGGAAGCTCCTGATGGATCTGTTGTGACACCTCATGCGAGTGGTGTTTAGCTGCTGAGCATTCCTCAACCTCCACTCCAATGGAAATCACCACTTAGCTTCCGCCTGCGAGGAGGAATATTTGAAATTCTCGAGTTGTACGCGTGAAATAGAATAGAAATGAAGGCTAATGTATATGAATGGGAGCCGTGACGGTCAGGTATTTCACGCCGCGTGCCCTGACAGAGGCTGAAGTGAATGAGTCGTCAGCTGGCATTGAAATTCATATTGTATCCCCGGCTGGAGCTGAGCCCATCTTCTCCACAGTGCGCTCGCCATGAGCCGTACAATAGTCAGGGAGACGTCTAATGAGGCAGGAGAGGAAAATGTTGAGAGGAAAATCCTTAAACTGGAGGAGTTGGCATATTCAATGGCCGGTCTCTAAATTGAATGAGCAGAAAGTCTTTGTTGGAGCTTCAGGCCGGCGGGAGGGAGAGAACACAACGCAAGGAAGGAAGGAGAGATTGAGCGAGTGACATGAGATGATGCTGTGACAATGTCAGCTCTGGTCCGGTCGGCCTGGAGGGTCGCAGGGTTGGAGCAGGGGGGGGGGGGGGAGGGGGTGAGGGACGGACCCGGAAAGTCGCAGGTTCACATCTTGATCTGGAAGAAACCTCTCCGCTCTCCTTCCGTTCTCGGTGTCAGGTTTGCGGGACCTTCCCTCTCAACTGTGAGTCAGCAGTGCTCTCCTGCTCGTGTACAGAGCAGCTTCCCACACTCGGCCTCTGATCTGCTGCACTGCTGCAGCTGCAGTTTGACCTTTGGGTCCCCCCCCCCCCTCGAGAAACTGGCCCAACTCTCCATCTGGTTGATTTTTTCTGCTAAAAAACAACAAAAAAACACTTTGCAAAGTCGATGGATGGTACGAGATTGTTGTTTTTTTTGCTATGTGAATTTTATGTACTTCACTTAATGGCTTCAATTTATTCCCTCTGTAAGTGCTGTTGAAGCCCGAGAGTGGTTTCATTTCGACTGCACATTAAAGCAGCTGATTTGGCCGATGAGCTTGTGCCTGGTGCTAATCAGGGACTAATTACCTGCACAGTTTAGCTGGAATAAAAACTTGCAGATTCTTTTTGGGGCTTCAGAAGAACCTCCTCATAACCTTAATTCACTTCATCTCTTAACTTTAACCTCAGTGGCCCCTTTTTCACAGATTAAGACAATTAAATATGCTCATTGTGTAGCATCAATGCTCATTGTGTAGCATCAATGCTCATTGTGTAGCATCAATGCTCATTGTGTAGCATCAATGCTCATTGTGTAGCATCAATGCTGCCCTGTTGGTGCTTTCAGCAACTAAACTGAGCTACTGTTTTGCACACGTGTACATTTCCTGATTGCCTTAACTGGTTCTTTAAAAGGCTGAAAAACCAGAACCCACTGAAGAACCATTTGTATCTATTGGATGGTTCTACATGTTAGTCATATGTTTGGGATATTAAAGGGTTATTAATTCATGTTTGAGTTATGAGATAGTGGGGGATGGTAAACATTTGCATACATCAAAGAACCATTCTGATGGCTCTTTGAGGCACCTTTTGTGGTTCTTTGAAGTTCATTGAAGGTTTTTTAAAGAACCTTGGTCTGAAAGGTTCTTTGTGGAACCAGAAGCGGTTCTTCTATGGCATCACTCTATAGAACAAGGTTGGGATCCAGATGGCACCGTTATCTTTCTCTCTGTACAGACCCGGTGTAGACGTGGACAGACCTCACAATCACAGAGAAAACAGACACACAAACAGACACACAAACAGACACACAAACTGCAGCGGACGCCGTCATTTTAATCTCCACTTGACATTTACTTGTGCATTTTATCAAACAGCTGGTTGTAGGCAGAGATCAGCTTCCTATGTCTGTGCATCACTAATTAGTGGTAATTTGCACACATGAAAACAATCTCAGCGCCGCTTGTTTGATGTCTCGCAGCTCATTTTTAAATTGTTTCCGAGCAGCCGCAGCATTCCTGATTGTGTTGCCTGCTGGGTTTGTGCTCTGGTGTCACTTTTTGTCTCTCATCATCAGACTGCAGCTCTCATCATGACCGGCTACACACTGCCCCCTAGTGGGGGCGTCCTGGCCTCTCAGTCCCGATCCGCAGTCTGTTGTTGGTTGAATAAAGTGATGCTAACGAAACCAAATAACTGGATGTGCTGAGCTAAAAAGGGCCAATTTTAGAAAAATAAATACTATATTTTAAGAGTTAATAAGTACTGATGAACTACTTGGAGGTGACAAG